TTGAAAATATAAGATAATAGATTTATCTTATTTATTTTTCTGCTTTTACTTATATTGTGGTTGTTATGGAAATAAAAAAAAGAAAGGCAATTACAAATCCGAAAAATGACGATCACAATTAAAAAAAAAGTAAGGTTCGTTTTATATCCTAATTCAATGATTGTTACATTAAATCGAAATTAACATTCCATAATATACTGGAAAGTTAATTAATTTAAAATTAACTTGAAAGTGAAACATTTATAATTAACATTTATAATTAAACATATTCCGTATTAAAAAAAAAATATTATCTACATTATTCATTACAATATAATTTGTAATTTGTTTAAAGTTAAATATTGTAAATTGTTTAAAAAACTTATTTAATATATTAATATTAGAATAAATCAAAAGCAAAGAAATACAAGTAATGTGTTTTTAATAACATTCCTTATTTTTTTGTAGTTATAGATTTTATTAAAGACAAGTACATTCATTCAATAATACAAATAATATGAATGAAGTACAAAATAATATTGTTGTGTTAAAGATAAAATTATTTTATCTATATTGATAAATATATAATATTTATATATTAAATATATAATATTTATATCTTAATTCTACTTAAATTATTTAATCTATATAATTGTTATAATATATATTGATTTATACAATGTTTTCTTTTCAATTTTCTTTTAATTTTATTAAGTTTAAAAAATAATTAAACTTAATAACTAAAACTTTTATGGACTAAAAAAGTCCAAGCATTTCATAATAATCAATTTTATCATTATATAATTTTATTATTATAGATCTAAAAATTTTATCACAGATTGCAGCTCCAATAGCGATATAATGCTCTCTCATTTATGTGAACATGAGGTATTGAAAGATAACAGTTTATGTATCAAAAGATCTCTATTACTATTTTGCTTCAATTAGATATGAATTATGAACTATGTAATTAAGTATATATACATATACATATATATATATATATATATATATAATATTCCCTTTTCTTATATATATTTTAGGCTTATATTATAGTTATTAAATTGTAAATAGAAAATATTTATTAAAGAACATTCAATTTTTAATTAAAGAGAATAGTGCTTATTTCTATTTATAAATAAACAGAAAAGTTTAATTTGTATTGTTTTTTTTTTTGTTTCATCTTTTGCTGTCTTTTTTATAAACCCTTTAGAAATTAATAAATTACATTCTTCCTGAAAAATAAAAACTAATTATCTTATATTATATATATATTACCTTATATTGTACCTCTGCTTTATTATTAAAGATAACAAATTCAGGAAACACATCTGGAATATCTTTAAATTTAAGATTATTACTAAAATAATTTATAAGGATTTATATAATTCTTATTCTTTTAAAACATTATATTTTTTTCAATTATTACTTAAATTAGAATAAAATATTTTTACTAAATATATATATATATAATGAAGTAATATAAAAAGACCTATATATAATAAAAAAATAAAAGATTAAATATAAAAGATAAAAGTCTAGATATGATAAAAAAATGAAGACTTAATCAAATCAAATATTTCATAATCAAAAACTTCATGTAATATTAATATCAATTGTTTATTCTTGAATATTATAAATAAATATTCTCGAATAATTAAAAAGAAAAAACTGATTCTTTAATCAGTTATATATTTTATATTATTATATATATTATATTATATTAATAATTTTTATT